GTAAATCTGTTTTTGCTTTTAAGCAGCAAAACATAATTTATTTTTAAGAGGGGAAAATTGAATGAGCGTTTTCATGTACGTTTGTACTTTATTCTTGTATTACTTGTAAACTATCTTATTTTCTAAGCGACCGAAGTATTCTTGTGTTTTCTCCCTGACAGTGGCCACAAAGTATAATGATTTCTTGAAAAGCCACATTTTCTAGAACAAATTTTTAAACTTATGAACACTTGTTGAAATTCAAAGATAAGTGTTGATAAGACTTACCATGTAATCTTAATCTTTAACAATACAAAACAAGCAAACTCTCGTCTGATAGTATGTGCTCGGGTATAGCTACTCTGAACACTGTCAGCGTCTTTTGTGTCTAAAGATGTACAAGGCATGGAATGATTTTTCATAAATATCCTATCTAAAATACCCTCGGCAACTAGGGATTGGATGTTAAGGTCTGGAAAAAATATGGATTCCATGGACTATTTTCTTATGATACATCATTGCACTAAAATTATTTTCTTTTGAAACACAGCATTTTCTGCATGTAATATTTATATAAGTCCTTTGGGATATACAGATTTGTTGGTACCATTAGAATAACTTCAGTATTCCATTTCTGGTTTAATGGATAAGCATAAAATGCAGCATTATTAAAAAGAAATAAAGTGAAAAAAGCAAAGTGATTCGTCCTTGACTAGTTACTTATTAATATAACAGTAGACCCGAACATGTAAAATTTAGGAACTTTAGAAAAGTAAAGAATTGTCACTTCTCAATTGATGCTGGCAGTGGCAGAAGATGTAACAGTAATGTTGGATGATTAGAAACACAGAAAATAAAGAAAATTAAAATGCTGCAGGTTACAAACCCTTAGTACCTACGGCTTAACTTGGTACTTATTGACAAACCAGCTTCTTTAAGATTTTTTTAACTTTTTGACGCACCTCTCTATATGTTCAATAGCATATTACTGGACTGGTACAAGAGTTTAGAAAGGAAAGTGTCTCTCTCCAGCTGTAGTGTTTGCTAGTTTGTATGCTTAGTCTCAATATTAGATCATATATCAAGATGAAGAGCACAGGAAAGTTCAAAAGGAAGAACGCACCTACAAGGATGGAGGTGTTTTTATCGAGTTTGGCCTCTCGTTATCTCTGAAGATCTTCAGCGCCTTGGAGACGTGGCTGGGCTTGTCTTCGCTGTCTTCTGACAAGATAAATTTTAATTAGCCAAAGTCGTTTATCGACGTTAAATAGAATGGCAACCTGCTGAATGAAATTAAATATTAACAATTGCTCCATCTGAAAATGTATCAGGGCCAAGCACGCGATTTCATTCTTGTGTTCAGGTTTCAAACATTGACAACGAGTTCCTGTTAGTTAAGGAGATTTGAATTGTGACATGGCACGTACTCATGTCCTACCTAATTGCTATGAGCCGTTAGGGTGCATCTCTTTACAAAATATATACCTGAGATACTACACTAAAGAGTGGCTTAATTGGTCAAAAGCTTTCGTTTATTGTGTAAGTAAACCAAAAAAAAATTGAAGTTTATCTTATAAAATCCTCAGACTGCACTATCTATCAGTTTACCGGCCTAATAACCTACTTGGGATGTTGGGAGAGCACTCAAAAACTTTGCAAATCACTCGCCTCTGTCTTACGGAATTCTCGAGTGTTCTCCCAACGTCCCAAGTGGGTCCTTCAAAGGAAGGGTTGCTCTCAGCATCGCGTCTAGCGATTATTACGCTTCTTGATCTCGTGCTTTCCAAACTTTCCACATCCATCTCGATGTTCCAAAACTACAACTACATCCATCGTAGGTTATGATATTTTAAGGTAATTGTTAAATGAGTAAAAATATGAGTCAGTTGATTGAAAGCTTATTTGATCCTGCCATCTTAGCGTTTCGTCTTTCGTCACAACATTTGCCCCTTGCAGTGCAGGGTGCAAAAGTTGTCTGCTAAAACCAAGGCGAATCCTTAAAAAATCGAAAATTAAAATATTCTTTATAAAATTGCTCAACTTAAGGTGACTGCAGTATTTGAATGTAATTCAATCTAGCCTAATTCATGTTCGTTTGCAAATTTTATACTTAAAAAAAAAAGACAGAAAAGAGTATTCAAATCAATTCTATCTTTTGCCGACTAAGAATATATTATGTAAGGCGAAAGCTCTTTTAGGTTTATGGTCAAACATTTAGCTCGTTTCACGTTTTCTTCGATGAACGTGCTAACGTTATATGAAAGGGGCGGAAATGACAAAAATTACGAGGACCTGCTTACTCAAGACGTTTTCATAATTTTGAGAGGCATGGCGACAACAAATGTTCGCAGTAAAGTTTTTTCCTCGTCACTGTCTCGTTCGCCATTCTCACAGCAAGCAATTTGATAACTTAAAATGTTCCAACCGTTCTGGCCTGACCAGAGGTCATCCAGTTTACTTTCCAAGTCGTTGACGAGTCAATCTGCAGCATCATCTTGTTTCAGTACGGAGAGCTTGAACTTCACAAACGTCTTCTACCCCAGGGCTCGAAATTGCAACCGATACGGTCGCCAATGCGACTAAAACTTTTAACTTGGCCACTAAAAGTTCGAGTTTAGTCGCCACTTTGGCGACTAAACTAACTTTCTCTGATAAATAAAAGATTGTAGATGGGAAAAACTTCTTAAGTCTCATTTCTGCGTTTCTGCTTTTCTGCCGAAGGAAATGCAAATTAAGTCTGTTTACCTTTAAGCTAAAACTTGAAATGGCTTTCAAATTACGTATTCCGAGACGACATATTACAGTGGCTTCTCCATGGTGATCGAAGGCGCAATATTTTGTTGAAAAGCTTCTGAATTTAAAATTAATCCGTTGAGAACGGGAGGTCTGGTACTAAATGCCTATCCGCCATGTTTGATAAATGTTTGATGCCTTCGTATCGTACGATTTCTTGCATGCGATGTGACATATTTTCCTTGCTAAAGTAGCCCTGAAATGTTCTTATTACTTTTTTTGCTTACTGCTTAAGATAAGATTGTGACGCAAAAGTCTTTCGGAGTTTCTTCTTTTGTGTTCTTATGTTCTAAGTCATTGAAGATCGAGTATTTCGGTCTATCCTACAATCGCAGCCACAATCCACCAGAAGCCGAACAAAAACGCCAATTGAATAAGGCTCTAATCTGATTTCTCTTCTTGTACTATCTGGCGACTGCATTTTTGCACTTGGCGACCATTTTTTCTCTGATAGTCGCCAAAAGGCGACTTGGAATTTTTTTTAATTTCGAGCCCTGTACGCTCCTCAGTTCTAAGGAAGTATTTGGTGTAGAATTTGGACAAGTTGTCTGTAGTTTGTTCTTCAGCCAAATGAAATTGTCTTTCCCTCACCCTGATGATAACGATCATTGTATAAAGATTTGATGTATTCAGGACGTTTTATCTCTTCAACGCTGAATGAAAGAGTGTGCTGGTGATGACAATGTCGACCATGGAAAGGAGGCCATTGCTGCCACACTTTCCCACTTCGTGAGGACGGATCACTCTGTTCTAAGCAGGGTAACCTAGGCAACACTAAAGGATACTGTGTTCTTCCCAAAATGCGGCTTTCAACTCAACTCAGATTGGTCAGAACGTTGGTGAGTATACACTATATGGTGACCCGCGCATTCTAGTTAAGATCCATCGGGTTGTTGGAAAGTTATCCGACGATCATTTACGTACTTCCGCTAGTTCTCTAAAAGATAGTTGTATACACATCTTTCTCAGACCAAATTTGAAAGGATTCCCTCTAGCTATTTACATCTCATATCCAACGGGCGCTCGTGGAATAATTCATCCCAAGCAACGCACGCCGGATTTGTACCTGAAAATATTGTAATCGTTGCAATGATAAATGAGTTAAAATCATAATTTTTCGGTATGTTATCTCACTGTTTTAGTATACTAAACTAGAACTGCTATTCCCCTCAATATCAGTGTCGAAGGACAGTGGATATTTATTTCATTAGTCAACGAGTGCGCGTCGAAAATGAAATGGTAAATAGCTGAGGGGTGCGTTGCGCCGAGTTTGTTGTAACCACCGTCGTATCCAGCAAAAGCGTTTTCTGAATAGATATTGTTATATTCTGAAAGTTTCGATATTTGGAGCCTATTTTTAGCTCTGCAATAGTTGATGCAATGATTTTCCAAATAAGGTGAATCGGAATATTGATATGAACTGATGACCGGAGTTGTGTGAACCAATCAGAACACGCGGAGAAATGAGATGTTCGGAGTTGAAATTTTATAACATACACTTAATATATGGTCCCGAGGGAAAAAGTTAGTTTTGTTTTGCCGAGAGTGCTGATGTTTCCCAGGACAAAGTTGAAGCGCTTTGTTGTGTATTTAGACTTTCCCTTAAACAATCATATGGCAAAAACATGCTTTTTTATTCGGCGCGCGGGCAACAACTGCTCAATTGCATCCCGGTCGAGATACATTTGAACTTGATCCAATGAAACAGGATCCATTGAGCAAATTCTTGTTTTTGCTGCTTGGTAATTGTTGTTTTTTTTTTTCCCTAGTAAAAACTGTTATACTTAAAGATATATGAAAAATACTAAAATATGTCACAGATTGGAAGGATTACAAATCT